TTTCACACTTCGATGTTTCATGTAATGCCTGGCATATCGTAACACGTGCCTCGAGAAAATTAATTATTTTTGTAACAATTAAAAACATTTAAAATGGAAGATATAGTGAGTAAAGAATTATTTATCGAAAAATACAATAAGTACTATGAGGAACAACCTGGTAAACGACCATATACTTCAGCTCAATTAAAAGAGGTAAATATCAAATCAAATTACGCATATTAAATACTTTTGAGGTTAGGACAACTCTTACTGAACTAACAGTTTTCTTATTCAATTTTTATATTGCTGATGAAATTATCACAGCGATAAATAAAAAATCACTTACCAAAACTCGTCGAGAGTACTATCTATTGAGAAAATATGACATCATCACGGTAGATAACAATGTATTGGTGGTCAAAAAAACTGAAAAACATGATAAACTTATTTATTTAACACCTGAGAAGGATGTGTTCGACAGGTTACTTGACATTCAGGTAAACTGTGGCCATGGATCTCGAGACAAAATGATGGACATTATTAAGCAAAGCTGTTCTATTCCGCGACCATGTGTAGAACTTTTTTTAAAATGTTGTAAAACATGCCAAATGAAAAAAAGTAGAACTGTCGCTAAAGTGGTCGTGAAGCCAATTCTAACAAAAAGTTTCATGACTAGAGGACAGGTAGACTTGATAGACTTTCAGTCGATTCCTGATGGAAAGTACAGATGGTTATTGAATTATCAAGACCATGCTACTAAATATCTATGTCTAAGAAACTTTGAAAGCCAAACAAGCAGTAGATGTGGCTAACAAACTCATCAAGATATTTTTACAATTCGGTGCTCCAGCAATACTGCAAAGTGATAACGGACGCGAATTCGTAAATAAAGTCATAGAAGAATTCAAAGTTCTTTGGCCGCAATTGCATATTGTTCATGGCAGACCTCGGCATCCACAAAGTCAGGGTAGTGTTGAAAGAGCAAACCAAGATGTTGAAAATATGCTTCGCGCATGGATGACGGATAATCATTCAACTTCTTGGGCCACAGGTTGTTACTTCGTTCAGTGGCAAAAAAATAATTCCTTGCATCGGGTGATCGGCAGAAGTCCTTTTAAAGCAGTTTTTGGTAGTGATCCAAAATTAGGACTTGCTTCAACTAATCTTCCTCAGCATATTCTATCGTCAGTGGCTACAGAAGAAGAACTGAATAATTTAAAAATTGAAATTAATTCTAATGGATTGACAGTTGATTCAAATGAAGACGAGCTGGCAGACGGCGACGTAATTATTAAATCGAATGACGTTATTAACAACAATAATAATAATAATCTTAATAATAATAATCTTAATAATAATAATAATGTAAGTACTGATTTGATTGAGGCTGCAGTGATTGAGGTAACGACTCCGGAAGAATGTGTTGTTTGCCAAAAAAATGTTTCTGATCAGAATTACCGTTGCCAGACGTGTGCTATGCCGATTCATTTATCATGTATGGGAAAAAATGGATTGTGTCATTTGTGTATTTCAGCGAAAAATATCGATTGTAACCAAGCCCAATCATACAATGGCATCAAAACTCAAGCTGAAAAAATGTTAACCGTAACTAAAAAAATTTTGCCAGATATAATTGTTGGTGATTGTGTACTAGTCAATGTAGATAGAGTTGATCGAAGTCCAGGAGATCCACAAAATATCGTTGCGGTAATTACTGACTTTAAAAATGGAGTCTATCAAGTTGGCACGGTTGCAGGTTTAATAAAATCTTGGTTTAATAAATGCGATCTCAAGAAAGCATCATCAAAATTTCTCAAAATTGAGCAGGTCGACTCAAATACATTTATATCACTCCGAGAAGCAGTTGCTGCACAATCTTTATTTAAAGGACAAGGTTTTGTTAAATGTTCGTGTCAGCCATCGAAGACTCAATGTCAAACGAACCGGTGCTTGTGCTTTAAGTCCAAGCTTCAATGCAACTCACGGTGCCATAAAAGTGGACCATGTGCTAATAAATAATTTTCAAATCTAGCTAATTTAAAAAAATTGACGAAATAATATGATTATTTGTACTTTATTATTATAAATGTAATTTAATATTATTTAAAAAATTCTTATAAAATTTGTTAATGGCAAGAAATTCTATTAAATACTATCCACGTTAAAGTGTATCAAGTCTGTTCATTAATAACCTGTTTTTGTACAATAAGTATATGTGTCTGTTACTCATCTTAAACGATGCTCATCGTAAAGGACGTGTTACGATATGCCAGGCATTACATGAAACAT